TTTCAGAGACATAACATCTTATTGCAACAATGAAGCAATAAAATAATTTTGTTGTTGTTGCCAATTTGAAGAACAATATGTGATGAATTTAGCTCTTTATAACATCCTGTCTTGAAATAAGTTGCCCTGCGTAATTTAATCAGTGATTTTTATTTTCTTTGCACGGATGATCATATTTTGTGTCCCCCATCCCTTATACAGGATAAATGCAGTGTCCAGTGGGCAAGTCAGAGGAGATTCCTACGGTGAAGGATGTATGGGGCAAACTGGTAAGAAATGCTTTCATAACAAGATTAACATATGGAACACTATTATTATTTTGAACATATTTGTGGCTTACACCCACACCCATGAATCAGGAGAGCTTGGGTATTTGTTTCTATTTCATTGTGACAGTGCCATGGTCCAGTGATGGCCTGGTGGTAGAGTCGCTGCTGGCAAGCAGTAGATGGCAGGCTCAAATCCCGCTGGTTCCAAGATTTTTTCTGACTTGTTTTTCAATTACAGATCGATCAATCGATCTTATTTACTGGGTGTAAGCCTCAAAAATGTTCAAACTATTGAAATTTCTCCCAGGAAGCATTACATTTATAAAAAAACTATTATTATTATTTTGTTTAAATAGAGAGATAGAGTTTTGATTGTTAAAATATTTGTATGCACAGAAGTATCAATGAAAATCATGCTATATTACTGTATTTTGTTCAACTGCTAAAAAGGAAGGATTTTCTTTAAAGGTGGACTGCACTCCTTATAGCTTCTTGTGCCCTCTATATAGCCAACAATGCCTAAGCGGTACCCCTTGGTCCCCCATGGTCCCCTTTTTCTTATCTAAATTTAGAGCTGATTTGATAGCCACCTGCCAGTGACAATGCAGGGAGGACTAATCCTTCCTGGCCAAACTAGTGCAGATAGGCTTAAATATAGAATTGTTGAAGTTGAAATATCTGAAAGATGTTTGCAGTCACTGACCCTAACCCTAACCCTAACCCGCATCTCCAGTCGGGCCATGGTCATCATGAACAGCTTCGTCAATGTAGTAGTATAAGTAAAGCATGTCCTATGTTAAGTTTTTGTAATCACAAAATTAAGTAGTAACTGAAATTAAGGGCAATTACTGATATCTGAAATTAATTATGATCTTAGGCTGCACGGAAGATGGATAGTAGATATTTGTGTTCGAGTTTGATATTATCTGTTTAGATTAAACATACTACCTGATTTTTTTTCACCAGCATGATGGTATATGTATAAAATCATGTATATCAACAATGTATGCTACATTTATGCTTACCGTGAATCAGAAAAAGGTTCATATGTCCCAAAGAATTTATAACATTGAAAAAGAAAAAGAAATTTTTACAAAAACTCTACAAAAACGATCAAACTTGTGCTCCTTTTAAATAACAATTTTCAAAGTGAATTAATTTTATATGGCAAATAAAGACCAATAGAAATTTTGTTGTTGTAATTTTTGTTGTTGAAATGTTTCTCTGAAACCTATTTTTTTACAAGCTACATCTGTACATGTATCACACTTATGTCTTATTTGGGGCATGTAATAGTGAGTACTAATATATCATTTCTTTTTCAGGTGCAAGAATTTGGCTCTTTATTGGGTTTGTGCTTTCTTTTGCTGGGTTGATTGCCTCAATGTGGATCCTTTTTGAAGACTACGTCGTAAATCCTAAGAATAACCCAGGTGAGAAATCATATCGTCTCATTCTCTCAAGAAAAGAGCTGCTTTTGATGTACATTTACTAGTTTACAGATCAATGCATAGTTTGCATACACACAGATAATACATTATACCTCTTTCCTATGGGCATTTGATCACTTGCTGCTTTCTTATTTTTGTGTGATGTAATTATTTGTGTCCCCTCTCTCGTTGTGTCTTTGCGCATTATATGAGGGATTGATTGATGGGCTTTTCAAATATATAGACAAAGAAATTATTGAGAACAACAATAACTGAAAAGTTTTCTCTTTTTGAATAAGTATATAGCTGATAGTTTTTCTTTGAGTTCTTTTTCATACATTCTTGCCGTACACAAACTAATTCTTTAGATGAATCGTACCCTTAAACCTAATCTTGAGCTCATGGAAACATATTTTTAGAGAAAATTGCTATGATTTATTCTGGATTGTTTATCCTGCAGTAGATTGGTTGTTTGAATCAGTGAAATAAAAACAAACGCACAAAAACTTACTGGGCATCTCTTTTTTTCTTTTACCGTACTTGTATTTTGTTTACAGGAGTCACAAATGCATACCCTGGCGTAGCTGTATTCTTGCAAAACTTTCTGATTTTCATTGGGTAAGTACAGTTTTATAAAAACAAAAATTGTTTCATTTTATTTCTCAATTTCTATATGATGATTATGAAATTTTGTTCTGTTAACAGGAATTTTGTCTTTACTATTTGTAAAATATTTGTTTTACGTGTACTAGACTTAGCTTAGTTTTCTTTGATTTTTTTTGGTTCAAGGACATGTACTTTATTTAACTATTTATTTAATTATTCATTTAATGATGTATTGATTAGCTTTCTAATCAAATGACAGCTCAATTAATTTTTTTATTTTTAAGGAGGGGGGGGGGGGGGGGGGAGAGAGATGAGAAAAACAAAAATGAAAAGATTGTGTGCATTTATAACCATTCTTTGTTCTTAAGTTGTATCAAGCCATAGTTAACCTATAGAGGGATTGCTTATTGTACAATTAAATGTATTATGTAATTAAAAATTTATTAGACGACAATGAAGGAAGTAAGAGACAGAATTTAAAGAGAAAAGAATTAATAGAAGATATGAAGAGGCCACAGAAAACTTTTTTTAAAAAATGGAAAGAAAATATAGTACTGGTACTGATAGTATGGTGATAAATAAAGAAGAGGAAAAACCAAGAAATGATGAGAAAAGACGAATAAATTATTACATTTAGGTTGATGAGTGTTCGATTCATGCCATTTTATTTTTATTTTGATCCTTACCAATATTGTTTATAATTTGTAACTTTGTTTTTATTTTGCATCTCTTTTATTTTCAGTGGACTTGTCTTCAAATTTGGGAGAGCAGAAGAGTTATGGGAGTAGATACAAAAATACTCCCGTTATTTCCAATGAAAATTAGTAGTAAGGTTTTGGATATCATTGTATATCACTTGCCCATATGTACCAGTAATGGTCATATTTGCTAAATCATTTGATTTTTTTTCTCTGATATTAGTAATGATACTGCTAATAATTAATAGGCATCCTGCATTCACTTATAAATTTGAGAATGTGCAACTCAGAATAAATGATAGTTTTCAAAATTTTAAAGACTGAATTGAAAAGTATACATATATCTTCTTTATTCATTGTGAGGAATATATTATTGGAATTATCTTCTTCTCTTTTGCAAGGTGGGATTGTAAGATGCCAAAAAAGTCCTAAATATTTGTGGTAAGAGGTTGAATAATGTCATTTATTATATTAAACCTAACTCTGTACAGATAATGTCATACAAACAAAGTTGACTCTACCGGTATACAATTTAACTAATATTAGTTGAGTATTACATGTACATCCTATGTTAAGCATATTTCAAACTTACTTTTATTTTTGTATATATGTATTTCAAAGTCAGTTTTACATTTATTCTTTTGTTAAAAACAAAGCCCTGCCTAGATTTAGTTGAAATGATACTACTAAATGAAAAATAATATCTTGGTTAACCTTCACACATATTCGTGGGTATGGGAATTACAGGCATCATAAATTGTATTAGTATTCAGAGAAACCTTTATACAAACAAAGTCATTTTCTGTTATAAAGGACAAATATTGTATAATATAGTCATGAAAGCAGGCTCTGCAATTGCCATAAAGTTGTTCTATTATGTATCAAAATAATTTCTTTTATGATATTCAAAGAAAGCTAATATACTTGTCACATGTTTTATTTATAACTCACTGAATATTTATGAGGAGATGCTATGGTATATATTAATGTTTTGAGGAGGTTGAGAGTCTTATGTCATTTAGTTTGGCTAGACACCAGAAAAGGGTCTACATATTGATTTTGTTTATGGAGGTGAAATTGATAGCTAGTTACATGTAGAGCAAGCGAGAGCCAGTAAGATGATAATGATAAAGCTTCAAATGCACAGTTAAATATATTTAATTTCAAATCTCAAAATTACATTATTACTATTATCATTATGAATACATTTTGACAGGGATACAGGTTACATTTCATAACGTAAATAATTGATTCATTTGTAAGGAAAACATCTACAGAAAATCCAGGCATTTTCTCAAGATATTTCACCATTATTTATTTCCAATTTTCAAAGTGACATTTATGAAAGCTGACATTTCTAGCAAATTTTTTTCTTCCACTGAGCAAAATTATTACAGGAAAATGAGTTTCTCTTATTAGACAGGAGAATAATCCCAAAATTGTTTATAAAGCCGAGTTGTTGTCATGAAAATAAAATATATAACTGAATTGGCTAAGATATATATGTATTTGCATTCATCTTGTAAAATCTTTTCAGAAATTTCAGCCAAGTGTTTGTACACATTTTGTTCCTTCGCAATCTACCCCTTTTCCCTGTCATACATGCATATGGGTAGAGAAAAAATGTTAGATAGTACGACTCGAATTATAGAAATATATTGGTGTTATATTTTGCATGTAAATAGATGATTTATGATGATTCTAGATTTAATTCAGTTTGTAAATGTCTAGATACATAAACAGACATTAATTTACTTGTTTTTCATGTGATGTAAAACTGTCAATTTCAAAGTGCAAGTTCTTTATTTTAAAATTTTTGTGTGTATATTCTATTTATGCAAGATGTGAATACCACACGTTTTATGTAATGGTGTGTGGGGGGGGGGGTATAAGATAATTACAACTGTAGCATTGTGAGAGGGATAGTCGGGACACGCATATGCGTAGGTGGTCGTTGGTTAAAGCTTGGAGCTCTAAATAGTTCCCTCCCACTCTGAAAAAAATTATTTAAGGAACAGGAGTTAATCATGAGGTTCATTCTTTAAAAGATGCTGCCAATTAGAGTCGTTTACAATGCCAATATTCAAGGATGTTCTCAGTAAACTTTATGTAAAATATCTATCGTAGTTATTAGGTGGTGTATTAAAGATAGCTTTCAGATGATCATTTGTTCTCTAATAAATTCAAAATATATAACCAGAGGAAAGCTCTTGATGTTCATAATGATATGTAGAAATTAAGTGAGTGAGAGTTGGGACAAGGATTGGAGAATATCCACGCTGAATGATTATTTAAGTGCATAAGGGCATGCAAAGAGAAGGAGGGAGGGTGAGAAAGAGAAAGAGAGAGAGGTTGAGAAAGAGAAAGAGAGAGAGGGTGAGAAAGAGAGAAAGAGAGAGAGGGTGAGAAAGAGAAAGAGAGAGAGGGTGAGAAAGAGAAAGAGAGGGAGGGTGAGAAAGAGAAAGAGAGAGAGGTTGAGAAAGAGAAAGAGAGAGAGGGTGAGAAAGAGAGAAAGAGAGAGAGGGTGAGAAAGAGAAAGAGAGAGAGAGGTTGAGAAAGAGAAAGAGAGGGAGGGTGAGAAAGAGAAAGAGAGAGAGGTTGAGAAAGAGAAAGAGAGGGAGGGTGAGAAAGAGAAAGAGAGGGAGGGTGAGAAAGAGAAAGAGAGGGAGGGTGAGAAAGAGAAAGAGAGAGAGAGGTTGAGAAAGAGAAAGAGAGGGAGGGTGAGAAAGAGAAATAGAGGGAGGGTGAGAAAGAGAAAGAGAGGGAGGGTGAGAAAGAGAAAGAGAGGGAGGGTGAGAAAGAGAAAGAGAGGGAGGGTGAGAAAGAGGAAGAGAGGGAGGGTGAGAAAGAGAAAGAGAGGGAGGGTGAGAAAGAGAAAGAGAGGGAGGGTGAGAAAGAGAAAGAGAGGGAGGGTGAGAAAGAGAAAGAGAGGGAGGGTGAGAAAGAGAAAGAGAGAGAGAGGGTGAGAAAGAGAAAGAGAGAGAGAGGTTGAGAAAGAGAAAGAGAGGGAGGGTGAGAAAGAGAAAGAGAGGGAGGGTGAGAAAGAGAAAGAGAGGGAGGGTGAGAAAGAGAAAGAGAGAGAGAGGTTGAGAAAGAGAGAGAGAGGGAGGGTGAGAAAGAGAAATAGAGGGAGGGTGAGAAAGAGAAAGAGAGGGAGGGTGAAAAAGAGGAAGAGAGGGAGGGTGAGAAAGAGAAAGAGAGGGAGGGTGAGAAAGAGAAAGAGAGAGAGAGGTTGAGAAAGAGAAAGAGAGAGAGAGGGTGAGAAAGAGAAAGAGAGGGAGGGTGAGAAAGAGAAAGAGAGGGAGGGTGAGAAAGAGAAAGAGAGGGAGGGTGAGAAAGAGAAAGAGAGAGAGAGGGTGAGAAAGAGAAAGAGAGGGAGGGTGAGAAAGAGAAAGAGAGGGAGGGTGAGAAAGAGAAAGAGAGGGAGGGAGGGTGAGAAAGAAAGAGAGGGAGGGTGAGAAAGAGAAAGAGAGGGAGGGTGAGAAAGAGAAAGAGAGGGAGGGTGAGAAAGAGAAAGAGAGAGAGAGGGTGAGAAAGAGAAAGAGAGAGAGAGGTTGAGAAAGAGAAAGAGAGAGAGAGGGTGAGAAAGAGGAAGAGAGGGAGGGTGAGAAAGAGAAGGAGAGGGAGGGTGAGAAAGAGAAAGAGAGGGAGGGTGAGAAAGAGAAAGAGAGAGAGGGAAATCGAGAGAGGGAAAGAAAGGGGTTGTCAAAGAAGGAGAGGACTGCATACTGCCCATGAATGTGTGTAATATATTTATAGGTTTATAGTTATACATGTATATCATAGGGAGGGAAGGATGGAGTGTGAGAGAATGAGAGAGAGAGAGAGAGTCAAAGAGAGTCAAAGGAAGAGGACTACATACTGCCAATGAATGTGTGTTATGTTTAGGGGAACACAAAATGCTCTATTATTCAAATACTGCCATACCGTGGAAGTGATTTATGGAGCACACAAAATTTACAGAAGTATTGCATTGCTGACTGAAGTAAATGGTGGCTGTGAAAATTGTGTAACATTCCATATGCAGGCAAAATTGCCTTTAGCAAACAGGTCTTCTATATATTCACTGCATACATCAATGACCAAAATATTCAAACTATGAAGTTAATGATTACACTTTACACAGGAAAATGTATATTCATCTTTTTATTGAGTGCACTTCCATATACACAAAGGTATATTCATTGTATACAAGTAAAGTCTAAAAGTATATACATAAAATGTCATGAAAAAGAAAGACAAAGGATTTTAAAGGACGTAAGATTTAATAAACTACATACTTTTGCAGCATAGGAACCATCACCTGGTTTTATACTGAAATAGAAAAATGGACAGAAGATGAAGAATTAATATTTTCAAGGCCTTTCTACACTCACAAACTCAATGAACCACAAACAAACAAAAACAAAACCACAAAGTATGGCATATATTTGACCTGAGCAAAGATTAAAAAAAAAAAAAAATTCTTAATGAAATCCAGTCTTTTTTTTCCTAACATTTATTTCTTCAAGTAAAAGAAAAACAGACCTAATAAGAACAAATATTCAAGTTTTCTCTTTCTTCCTGTGTTATTTGAACATCTACTGCTACAAACTTTAAGAAACGTTTTTTCTTCACGCTGGAATGATTTAAGATTTTTTTAGAGAAAACATCAAGGACGTCAACATTTACACATATCATGTCTTTTACTCTTTACAAAAATTACATTTGGTGCCTGGACAGTGTGCAATGTGTATAAGTAACATTCATACTTGAAAATACTTCAAAATATATAAAATATTCATACTTGAAAATTGTGACACACAAATATTTCCACTTAGACATCTATTTCAGGATTTAATCACTCATATTTTGCAGTACATACACGATTCCACATATTTTACTTAAAACAATCATTCAAATATACATTTTATAAATGTTTATTGTTAACTGAATGTACTTCAGTTCTCGGGCTGCTTTTTCAGTATTATCCTAAAAAAAGACCACTAACAAGCTTGATATACTTGCAGCCCAATTCATCTCAATTCAATAAACACATACTAGGTTTCTAGTGAAGAAGTACTGTGGTACAGTGGTTTGTTCTCTTGGCCTTCAAGCAGATCGTAGGTTCAGATCTTGGCCCAATGGTTATATGCTCCAGACAAGTCACTTTATTTCCAGTTCTCTATCAGCCCAGAAGAAGAGAATTCCTTGGATGCTCCCAATTCCATCATAGACATCGGCTAAAGCCAAGAAAATATTCAGCCACTTCCTCGTTCTAGCTTTTCCAGAAAAGTTGGTCTTTTGTGAATGGTATATATACATGACATAGATGCCATAATTGGTAACATGTTAACAAATCAAGACATGGTATTAAGAGTTCTGAGCATATTACAAAGTGCACATACACAAGTAAAATTTTACACCAGTCATTTCTTGGACACACTTTGGAATATGTGCAGTTTGTGCACTGATACCATTGCAGAGTGTGGACGCCATTACATTACATGATTCGGAACGAGATGAAATCAATGTGCAGGTACAGAGTATGTACAATGAAGTCCTGAAAGAGAAATACTCCAAAGACGATACCATATTTAACAAATGTGATGACTACTTCTTGTAAATTGGTAAGAAAAAAAGCATATCAAAAGTGATTTCATCTACTTGTAAAAACACAGTTGAGTTAACTGATTTATATAGTCACTTCAGAACTAACACAAAGTATTTTGTCTCATAGCACCCTATACAGAGTTAGGGCCTTTTGCCTCTGGGCAAATGATTTGATGAACACATCTAATAAGGCAAGAGATGTGAGGCAACTGTGACGCTCTGAATGGCAAGGTATCTCTTTTTGATACGAATGAAAAAAGGTGTATCGTTTTGGCATCATTCTTGAAAGCAGTCTCATAGATAAATTGGAAAAATTAAATTTATATTTGTTTCAGTAGGCTCTCCCTATTCCTGGTTCATTTCCAAGGTTTTATATTCATACAAAAAGGCAAATTATTTACTCATCATTTACTTTGGTATGGGCCTATGCATTACTACAGGAAGGCACAAGTTGCCGGATCAAAGGCATTTGAAGAACTACACGTATAGGCACTGTCCCTCAGATATTAAGTCCTGACACCACCACCCCCCTTGACACAACACCATTACCCCCCTTAGAGAACGGAGCCATGCTATGCCACTGGTATCTGTCTTTTTTTTAACACATATTTTCCATGCTTTGCCCTGGTATATCTCTAACAAGTACTCACAAGGCTCAGGTACTTTCTAATAAACATCCAAATAGAAAAAAAAAGAAGGAAGAACTACAATATTCATACGACATCTTGTAGTAATAGGCTCTAAACCTCACACACATATCAAGGTGAAATAAACTAAAGAAGTCTTTCAAAAGAGATTATATATATATATATGTATTCCTGTATCAAATACAAAGACACTTTTACCAAAACAGCATTTTGACACAGGATCTGACATCAGGCAAACAGAGACTAAACACCCATACAATGTACTACACAGTACCAGAAACATACAAGTAGTACACCTTCTCCTGTCCCTTTCAAAAAGATTGAAAAGAGAAAGAAAGGAAAAAAATCGGCAAATGAAAATTTCAAACCACATGGTGCCTTATTCTAGTACAAAGAGTACTGTTAATAAAAAAATGATTAATAATTGTAAACAGTCTTCATATATACTGAAGTCACATTTCAAAATAAACTTTTCCTCATATACCATATTGATTTGCTTTTAGAAAAAAAAAAGCGGCAATACAGAAAGAAAACAGAACATATTCAAATTACAAAGAAAATATACATATAATTATCATCAATACTCAAGCTTCATAGAATTGTCAGAAAATACCAAACACTGTACATAGACTGTATATATCAGAAAAGTTAGAAAAAAAAGAAGAAAAAAGAATTAACATCACCACAATTTCAACAAGTGCAACATGCTTTAGTTACCAACATTACAAAATTTACAACATTGTATTTTTCCGTGAGAAAATATGTGCATACGATTGGCTTTTGTTACAGCCTATACATTTATGTACATTCAGGTATTGACTTGGTTTCGGAAAGTGAATTACATAAGTCTAACCAATTACAATTTCATTACCTTCATATAATTAACTATAACAGTGTAAAAATAGTGACTTCATGATAGTCTTTTATGAGACGAGTGTATACATGTACTTCTGGCAATATCTAATTCTGTGCAAAATGTTCCTGCTGTTTCTTTGGCATGCATTTACTTCTGAGTTTCAAAATACAATGTTTTGTGCATACATACATAGCTAAAGGCACGTGAGATGTTCTAGATGTTTTTCTAATCTTCCTTAAAGTCTATGCTGATATTCTTCGTTCCCTCATCTAAAAGAAATAAAAAATAAATTGATAAAGATGTTAAATATTTCCTTTAACCAAAACTGGTGTATTTCCATTTCAGTGCTTATGAGTCATCAATTAAGTTCCCCTTTTATGATGAAGTGCTTGAGGGTTCAATGTACATGTACCACAAACTAATGTCACAACTTTTTTTTATTGAAGTACACAATATTTTAGTATTAAAATCCTTGTAAATTTTCAAATGTAAAAATAATAATTGCATAATCTGGTCAATAATCTGAACAACAGTGGCAGGGGTAAACTTTCAAATAGATAACATAATATGAAAAACAAATGGCTACGAAGTATACAATATACATGTATATGCAACTTGGGCAAATTTTGATTCATTATTTTCTTAATCATAAATTACAAAATTAATATACCTTTATTTAAACAGGTAAAAAATGAGAATTAATACTATTTAGGTTTCATTCGGCTTTTAACTGTACATGTATGCCCGAGTTGAATTACTTATAAGTTAGAAAAAGTTATAAAAACAAGGGCAAGATTCATGTATGTTCTTTACATTTCCTTTTAAGTTCAAATTCAAAGTAGGATCAACTAAATAAAAACCAACTTCAAAAAAGTTAAACGTAAATTTGATACAAATTGGGTAAACATGATAGGCAAGCTCAAATGACTTACAGATCTATAAATTAGAGCCCCCTCTGTAGTTCTTAAAATGAGTAATTATAGCAGTGCTTTAAAAACAATGTACAGTAGTAATTTAAGCTTGTTCAGGATGTCTTGGTGCAAAATTATGTACTGCTGTGACAAAGGTTCATTTAGAAAATAATGTTTTTGAAACAATTTGTTTTAGAGCACCAGAGTGAAAGATACAATGGTATTGGAAAAATCATAATTTTCTTAGTTTTGACATTTCTTTAAAAAAAAAATTATTGCACATAATTCTCTTTTGATTTCTCAGAAACATCCATCCACATATTCTGTTAAAATTCTTACACAAAATTTCAAGGTCACAGAAATCCTTTTTAGTTGAAATAAAATGGGTTGCCTGTCCAAAAATCTTCATGAAAATTATTAAACTAGCATACAGGAGGATTAAAAAGCACATAAGTGTTTCAGGCACAAACCTATTCAACTCAAATGTACACAGATTATGTTAATTGCCTCATCAACATTTTTGTATACTAAAATGAGTTTATATTATATACCTTTTGTAAAATTTGATAGAGTAAAAAATTTGATAGAGTACTGTAATATTCATATATAAATTTCCTTTTTATGATAATGCAAATTGATGCTGCAATATAGTCATAAAAACACCAAAGGAAAGACTGTAATAAAACTTCAATTATTATACATGTATATATATAATTGAAATATTTAGAATTTCATATAAACTCTAATTCAAAATATTAAGAAAGACATATACAAATTTGATCTGATATATTCTAAGACACTTGAAAGAGATGGGAGTTCTAGTTATATTTTATATTTGCAAACAAATATCGCAAGGGCATTCATAGAATGAAAATATATCAAAACTATCGATTAATAATTTGGAGAAAAAGAGAAAAGAAAAGATCAGGATGAAAAAGAACAAAACAATAGGAAAAAAGAATGAAAATGTCCCTTTAACCTACAGGTACCATTAATTGGTATAAGGATCAGTAGAAAATCATTGTACTTTATAGAAATAGTACTAATTCATCAACTGCAATTTTTATTGATCTGAGGGACAGAGACTTAAACTTCAAAAGTCAATCGCTATCATTCATATTTCCAAATTATTTAGATAAACCCATCGACTGCACTTGGTAGTTGAGGTTAAATGAGTTTGCAAATCGATTTGAAGTGCAAGAATGAACTACAGTACACTTTACAAGTAACTAAGTCAGCTAACATTTCCCCTCTACTGTGCAACATGGTTTGTCATTTTCTGTTGAAACCTCAAATCTTAAGAAACCACAAGTGCATGATAAGTGCAATAAAGTGAGGTCTAGATGCAATCACAATACTATACATGTTTATACATTTAAGTGAATCTCAATTTCTAAAAATACATTTGGTACTAAAAGCACCAACACATGATATTCCCCCATCTCTTTTATATTGTTACATATGCAACATATATGTAATACACATGGTGTACAACTTCAGTGTTGCATAATAAACTTCTTCATTTCAAAGCAGGTGAACTGGGGTTGACTCCAGGCACTTTTTCCTCCTAAGCATAAAGACCACTATCCCTGTCATGTTGTACACGGACATCAAGGTGAACTGTTGCCTCCGGGTAAAAAGTTGGAGAGGAATGGCTTAATGTCAAAGAGACATGCAATCTGCACAGGATAAGGAATGTCGGTTAGAAGAGCAGCTTGATGATATCTTGTAAGGCTGTTTGAATCCCCTCAAAGTTGAAGAACCAGACAAAAACATCAACATCAACCACAAGAGATAAAGCTCTTTGATTGGTCTACCAAATTAACTGGAATTTGGGCATTTCATGAAGCTGTCCAATCTGCACAGGCTGAGGAATTTCAGAGAGAAGAGGAGCATGATGATATCAAAGGTGGTTTGGACCCCCTCAAAGTGAAAGGGCCAGACAACACCATCATCATCAACCACAAGAGGTGAAGAGGTGTTGTGGTCGTGGTGTAAACACTTGACTGGAGATGCAAAGGGCGCAGGTTCAAGCCCCGGCAGAGCACTAGTGCCCTATTAGCAAGACATTAATCTTCATTTGCTATTCTCCACTCAGGTGTTAAATGGGTTATGTTAGGAAGGAAGTGCAATGATGTCGGGTGCAAGTCAATGATGTCAAGTGTCTGAAAAAAGATGGATTATCTTTTGACTGAGATGGGTTTCCCCCTTTCAAACGCAGGGCTGCATGCACACTCTAGGAATAGCAGCTGATTCTCCCAGGACCATTGATGTCCATCCGGTGAATTCGCGCCAAAACTTGCTCTTCCTTCTGTGCCACTATCGTCCACTGAATAAGAACACTGACCTCTGCAAGACATTGTAGAGCAGGCACCAAGAGCGCCCTCGCCCTGCAGAGGTGGATACAAGTTCTTTATCCATGAAGCCACAATTACCGGATGAGATAGGCCATTAAAAGTTAGAACGTTGCTAGAAGTCCGGGAAGAAAGTAGTAAGCATGTTGTAAGACTTCTTCTTGACCACTGTTGAACCGGTCAGACGAACACTTCTGATCCTTTCCAAGCCTTTACAAACACAAAAAGGAAAAATCAAAGATAAAATGGATTACTTTTCACTTGAAAGATCAATTCTGAAGAAAAAAATACAATGTGTAATAACATAATCGGTATGTAATAGTACACAGGAAGAAGACATTCCTCATGCAAGCCCAAGGTTTTCACAATTTCATGCTCTATTTTGTTGGAAATCAATTTTGTGGTAATGTCTCTGAAGCGTCAACCGGTCATCTGTGTACTGTTTGTTTCTTCATCGGTATCTTAAAAACTCACACCTTCAGGACAACACTTCAGGACAACAAATGGGTGTTGATGATTTTAAGAACAATTATAGTATTTAATATATACTATCAAAGATAACATCATGAGTAAAATAAACCGGCTTATTTGTTCATAACTACGTTAGCATATTCTAGAGTTACCGGTATATTTTTCTGAATTATAAGTGATATATTTAACTCATGATAAATATGCAGGTAAACTTTTCTTCTGAGGTTTTTTTGTTTGTTATTCCATACACCATACACATCATGTACAATGATGAGGATAATAACAGCAGTGACAACGAAGACAACAATAATGATTATTATTGCAAAGGAAGATAATGATGATTATAACAAAGAAGATCTTATATGTATGGCAATAATAATGAAGAAAATAATTTTTACTAATACAGAAAAATCTATCAATAATACAGTGAAACCTGTCTATAAAGATAAGAAAAGTGGTCTTTATGGGCAGGTGGTCTTTCTGTACAAGTTCCTTTTAAATAGTACATGTTTCAATGAGAAACCATTTTCAAGAAAAATAAACATTGTGGTCTTTGTAGACAGGTGGGCACTAAAGCAGGTTTGACTGTATCAATGATACACATGAAATTTTCTGATGAATGAAAAGTCACACTCACCTCCAAATTCCTTGACCTGACGGCAGTAGGGTGTGGATTTACCAGCCTTCTTGTGTTTCTCATCAAGTTTAAGCACATTGTACATGGCATCCAGAGCAATCTGAATCAGAGTGTCATCTGTCTGTTTAAGAACCTCAGAGAATGCTTGGAAGAATCCTTGCTTCACTATGTACCTGAGAAGAATTAAGCAGCAAATACATCAATCATTTAGTTAAAGCCCATCTGTACTAGTTTGGCTAGGAGGGATTAGACCACCCAGGAAGGTCATTGACATGTGGCTATCTCATCAACTCAGCTCTCAATTAACGTAAGAAAAAGAGGATCATGGGGGACCAATGGTCACCAATTAGGCATTGTTTTCTATATAGAGGGAGCAAGTAGCTACAAGTAGTACAGTGGGCCTTTATAGCACATTGTAAATAGCATCCAGAGCGATCTGGATCAGAGTGTCATCCGTCTGTTTCAGAACCACAGAGCATGCTTGGAAGAATCCTTGCCTCACTATTTTCTGTGATGTTTTAGCCAGTCTTTACCCAAGAAAAGGATAAGGTAAGAATTCTTTGTAGATTTTTTGTGAATTCGGTATATAAACAAAATATGGACTGCTTTATTTGAAGCATAGCTGTTTTCTATACTGGCTCTTGGACCCCTGAGGCACGCCGCCTGCCCCGGCACGCCTCAGGGTCAGAGCAGGATGTAACGTCCCCTTGAGCCTATAGAAACGGTGATGCCTCTCATAGCAGTCAATATCTATATTAGTTCACTGGTCTACTGTCACAGTTCTTCCATTTCTTCCAATGAGTAAATATTAGTAAGTTACCTGATTTGTTCTGGTGATCCGTTGACCGTTGCATTGGCCACTGCCCATGTTGCTTCGTACATGACCTGGAAGTCATCATGCTGCATGGCACTGAGCAAGACTGGGAACAGACCATCATTCACCAGATGCTATAATGGTTGTGGAGAGAAACATCCATGTTAGTTTGCAAACAAGTACACTCTAGATACTGCTTTAATAAGTATCAAACTTGCATGGTGACGGATAGTCAACCTGTTCGAGCCCCTCCTACTACTCCATAAATAAATCTAGATATGACTTGTCCTCCATCACAGTGGTGCATAATCCTTTGACCCAACAGCCCCATCTGAAATTCCTTGTCATACATAAATTTGGACAAACCAGTTTTGCACAAACTTAAAGCCTATCTGCACTAGTTTGGCCAGGAGGGATTAGACCTCCCTGCATGGTCACTGGCAAGTGGTTATCTCCTCAAATCAGCTCTCAATTAACATAAGAAAAAGGGGACCAATGGTCACCGATTAGGCATTGTTTGCTATATATAGGGCGCAAGTAGCTATTTGTAGTGTAGTGGGGCTTTAAAAGATTACATAACTTGGTAAGGGTATGAATAATTTAGTTTCTAACTGTATACCTTCTTTTGTTCCAAATTGTTGATTGCAATATTGCAATATTCATAATTGAGAAGGCATTAAAACACGCTTTACGGTAAGAAGCTCCATGGGACCATCATATACAAATAACGATTGCAATGAATATTTTATCCATCTACAACCAAGATCATATCGACTTTGATTCGAACCCAAGTACCGCTCTTTCCATCACAACTACACTATCTCCTAAGGCACTCTCTAAAGAGGGTTGAAAACTTCTCGACTCCCAAGCAACCAGCTATCAAACATGTATTCACAGTGAAAATACCTATGCTCATTGGGTAATACCAAACACTTTTAAGAGCACTCAATTCAGCAGTTGACTTTCTCAGAAACATAGACCTTTATGCATGATACATTTAGCGTGTCAAGTTTTTTCTAATTCTTTTTTTAATGTGTGAAAATTAACACTGGAGAATACACTGTATATTCAGTACCTGCAGTAGTCCATATTTTCATCCCAGTGTTTGTGATTTATACCTGTTTAATAGTCTAAGGGCTATGATGAAATAATCTCGCAACAACTTAAACTACACAGATTCAGTACTATGTGATTAATACTGGTAGGGAGACATGAAGTAATGATGTCTGTTTCATTCATAGAAATATGAAGAGTTTAATTCCAAAAGGAGCTAAATTCATTTTTGTATCTTCAGAGAAAAATGAAATTTTTTACCAGATTTTGTACAAGCGTCTATGGAAAAGTGATATTAGAAGGTGCATTTTTTCATAATTGCTCCCAAAATTTATATAAATAATTTTGTTGAAAGACGGGTACTTAAATTAACAATGTTCTGATATCAATTAATAACTAAATTTTCATCAAAAGTGGATTTGACCTGCTCCTTTTGGAATTAAGCTCTTAATTTATATACAAACTGACTGCGCATGTTGTACCTGTATTTGTTGACTGGTACCAGCTGTGATGTTAGAGAGAGCGAGACATGCCTCCTTTCTAAGCGTTACATCGTGTTTATGCCGGCTCAGGAAGCAACAGAACAGTGGCAACGGGGAACACTCCAGCACAGCCTACAAATATGAAATAAACAGTGCACAAACATTCATATGTGGGACTGCACAAAATGAATGACAAGTCCTGCAGAAATGAATCCCATCATTTTCTTCCTCGAAAAATTCCAAGCGTAAAGTGTACCACGCATCGGAAAAATTAATTTTTGTATAGCTAGAATGTGCATTCTATAGGTTAACAATTAAGCAGTAAGTAGAACATAAAGAATAACATAAAAACCTGTACATAGAAACCAAGAGTGAATTGCCCTTTGGTCTACAACCAGTTTGTCTGCTACCCAATAAGTCTATTCCCATATGGTCTATACACCCAGACAGTCGACTATCCACATGGTCTCATTATCATTTTGTATACTAATCATTTGATCTAATGACCATTTGGGCTAATAATCATTTGGTCTAATCGCCAGTTAGGATGCCCATTTTGTCTACCGTAATTAACGGCGTATTAACCGCACTTTTTTGCCGCCGAAAAAAATTCAAAGTCGGGGGTGCGTCTTATACACGGTACACATTTTGTATTTTTTTTTTAAAGTTTTGATTTATGCCCCTCCACCTGGCGCTATGCCTGGCAATATCTCCCAGCTCAGTAATCGGTGTGTTGACTCACCACTCGGAAACTAGAACAACACTCAAATTTTTCTATCATCTTGGTTTGAAAGTAATCTTTCTGATAGATCTCTATATGTAGTTTATAATAATAATTCCTCCAATTTTTCTTCTATTACACGGCGTACCACAAGGCTCTATCCTAGGTCCTCTACTGTTTTTTAATTTACATTAATGATCTTACACATTTAGCAGCACCTCGCACTTAAATGAAAGGCCTTCCCGCGTGGGTTTTTTAACACGTACCTGGCTTGTTGGCGAAAAAGAGGGGTGCGGTTAACACACGAGGGCGGTTTATACACCGTTAATAACGGTACTATCCATATGGTCTAATAATCCTTTAATCATGAATAATAACCATTTAAGGATTATTAAACATTATGGATGGTAAATGAAATGGGCATTAGACAAACTGGAAATTAGACCAACTGGCAATTAGAGGGAAAAACCAACTTATCTTTTTTTTTAGTGCTCACTATCACCCCTGGATTAGTACACTTTAAAGTGTATGTCACTAGTTCTCTATCGTACTACTATATTTGAGATATAAGCTTCAAATATTAATTCTGGAAAGAGATATTGCAAATTTAAATACACCCTCAATCAATATAAAAGCTCCTCGTAAGTCAACATACCCAAACACGCTCACATCAAATACAGCCCACATGCAACCCATATCTGACTCCAGTTCCGTGTTTGCCGATTTATGTTATTCTTTGTTTTCTTCATACTCCTTTAATTTACATAGGCTAACGGATAATATCTGTTAGCCCATAAAAATCAAGGTTAAGTTTCTTGAGGTGGATTTTATACATTACAGCTGTACACAAATATTTGTTTAGGGTTGATTGGTAGACTCTAAGAGAGAAAAATCAACAAACAAACAAACCTGGGTCTGATAGTCATTTCCTGACACAATATGGCTGACAGCCAGAAGGGCACTTGAAATAACTTCTGGTGACGGACTCCTAACAAGGAAATAAAGATAAGAGAGAGGTTTTATATCAAAAGGTACTCCTTTGGATCATTTTAAAGGGAACATCAAACATATTCAAACTTGTGGAAGAGGTGCATGGATGGGAAAAAAATCAAACCCTCCAAATGGTGGGTTTATTGAACAGGCAAACAAAAACAGTGAAACCAGTGTATAACAACCACTCAAATGAGATGTAGAAGGTAGTCTTTATAGACAGGTGGTCTTCATTTACAGGCTCCTTTAGTACATGTTCCAATGAAAAACACTATGCAAGGGAAACAGAAATTGTGGTCTTTATAGACAGGTGGTCTTTCTATACAGGTAGTCACACAGTGTAGAAGAAATCCTCCTTAGATACACTGTTTATTGCTGCTTCCTTGATATTCTTCATAATAATTGTTTCATAGCATGTTACATTGGCCAAACAAACTACAGAATTCGAGGCAAAAATAAAACACCTGAAAAAAATTGCCTTTAATGATTAAACTCTGCTAAATAGGGAAACGCGAAGAGGCACAGGAGAAATACATTGTTATGAACAATTCTTAATTATACTTCAATTCTGTGTCCTGGCACTCACATTTTCTATATCAGTTATGAGGATAGGTTTCCCTATTTCAATAATTGTGATTAATTGTAAATATTGAAGAATGAAATTGTTCTGTAATGGAAGAATAAGGTAGTAATTTAAAGTCTTGGTTGCCGTAAGTCAAAATTTGGTTCTGAGTGTAGCCATTTTTCTGACACAAATTCAAAGCATGGATGTTTAAAGTAAGAGAAAAATTTGCATATTATAAATTTAGGACAATCAAAGTCAGTTTAGTTCTATCTCTTCTCCTTCATTTCGATACAAATACACTAAAAATAAACTACACTTCAAATCATTTTAGATGGCTGAAAATTCATTCCAATTGCCCTAGGAACCACTAATGACAAGATTTTGACTTTTTGATTAATTTAGAAAGTAGTCCAAAGTCAACTAATTTGGACCATTTTTCATAAGAAGAACCCCCTAAAATATTCAAAGAATTCATTTCTCACCTTAGAAGCTTGACCAACAGAGGGCAGAATCCCATCTCGACGACGAGGTTGATTTTCTGATCCTTGCTGTCCATGAACTTAGTGAGGGCAGCACACACCTCTGACAGGCACTCCGTGTGGTCCGTCTCGAGGAGATCCTTGACCCATGACAGATCGCTTTGTTTGATCTACGAATGAAAAAATTTCTACACTTAAAAAGTTTGTCCCAGAAAAAAAAGAAAACTCCAAAACAAACGGTCATTTCAAACAAACTATAAGCTATATATATATATATATATATATATATATATATACTTCCTTGATGTTCATCAAGTAAAACTAACATGCTTCAAAATGTTACACTGATTGCATTACTCCATACACGCTTCGCCTAGCAACATTATTTTGAAAATGGCATGTCGAAATCCATGATGACATCATCAACTCGCTAATTTGCATATAGCCTATGTGATACATATCACTGTGTCATGAAATTATGCGAAACTATCAAATTCCATAAGTTTCTTATTTCTCATCTCATTTTTATGAAACTTTCACCATTTTCGGTTTGTTTTTTCTCTATTTATTCAATTCAACTTGCAAATGGGTTGTATCTGACCTTTAATCTGCATTTGCTACTTTCAATAAAGGTGAGGAAAATGGTAACTAATAGGAATCCATTGCTGAGCGCCAGAGGATGGTAATAGCAGCCGAGCTGTAGCTGGCAAATTAATATTGGGGCAACAGGAGAAAATCAAAGAGACAAAGAGACAGTCATAACAGAAGGAGAGAGAGAGAGAGAGAAAGAGAGAAGTGCAAAGAAGAGAGGACGAGGGAGTGAGAGAAGAGAGAGAAAAAGAGAGAGGGCTACATGTACATACCGCCGATGAATGTGTGTAATATTTATAGATTATAGAGAGAAAAGAAGTGCAAAGAAGAGAGGGAGTGAGAGAGAGAGAGAAAGAGAACGGAAGGAGGGAGAAAGAGAAGGAGGGTGAGAGTAGAGGAGGAGAAAGAGGAGGAGGAGGAAGAGAGAGAGAGAGAGAGAGTGAGAGAGAGAGACAAATATGAAAAGAAGAGAGGGAGTGAGAGAGAAAGAGAAGGGAGGGAGGGAGGGAGAGATGGAGGAAAAGAGAGCGAAAAGGGAACGAGGGAGGGAGGAAAAGAGAGCGAGAAGGAAGGGAGGGAGGAAGGGAGGAAGAGAGAGCGAGAAGAAAGGGGGGGGGGAAGAGAGAGCGAGAAGGAAGGGAGGGAGGGAGGGAGCAAGAGAGAGCGAAAAGGAAGGGATGGAGGGAGGGAGGGAGGAAGATAGAGCGAGAAGGGGGGGGGGGAAGAGAGAGCGAGAAGGAAGGGAGGGAGGGAGGGAGCAAGAGAGAGCGAGAAGGAAGGGGGGGGGAGGAAGAGAGAGCGAGAAGAGAGGGGGGGGGGGGGAGGAAGAGAGAGCGAGAAGGGAGGGAGGGAGGGAGGGAGGAAGAGAGAGCGAAAAGGGAGGGGGGGGGGAGGAATGGAGGGAAAGGGAGAGACACAGAAAGATTGAACAAAAAGTTCATTACAAGCTATAACAACAGCCAAAAGAGAAAGAAAAGCACAAAAAAAAAAAACATTCTTACCCCATGAGCCTTGAGTTCCTTTAAGTCTTTGAGAAGATCATCGGATGGATAGCGAGAGTTGCTTCTACTTTCTCTCCCATTCTTCCAGCTTGTATCGTGTATTGTCTCATTGTCCTGTTCATTTAAACAGATAGATTTCATAATTTCAAAACATATATTCAAACACTAGTTTGATAAATCAATCATTTTGGGTGCATGTTTTTTTCTCAATGAAGCAAATCACATGACATACACATATAGAAGCCTTGCTTTCAACCAAGGTCACCTCATCTTTCTTTTGTAATGCCATATTCTGTTAACTTGATATATTCATGTCATATTTGTAAAGTGTATTATGAAAGAAAATAAAATAAAACTTGAAATTTGAATATAGGGACTAGTGCTATTCCCATACAATCCATAATACTACAGCACAATATGTTTTTGTCTTTTTAATAAAACAGTGATCTTACTTATTTACTGAGAACTGAAAAAGAAGATTAATACAGACATCATCTTGCTGCCAATTCACAGAGTTACTTCAGCAGTGATAAATCTCTTTTAATTATTCATTAATCATTATTTCTTTTCTTTTTCTTTTTTATATTTTCACTTCGTTTTACACTTTGGGCCATACTCTGCAAACTATTCATATTGGGGAAATTGATATTGATTGTTATAACAAACTGGACTTGCACAGGCATAGAATAAACACTTATTTTCGGTACCGTAGCTTCAACCATATGTATACACAGTTAGCTTCGTGACTTGCCCTAATTTTATTTGTATTGACAATAAACACCTTTTTACTTAATACATAAAAGGTAATATAGTTCAGATTACCATCAATGCACAGGAACTATTGTCAAACAAACTTGAACCAACTACTAATTTGCAAATATGTCATGTGCAACCTGTGCAACGAAATGTACATAGAAAAATATTTGTGACTATTGACCCCCTTCAATTTTTCCGGTGCATACATTTGAAAAGGGTGTGAAATTTAAAAAAAACATGTATGCACGTGTACATCACGTAAAATATGAACAGTCGATATTAAAAACAAGGTGTCTTTCTCACGATAAGAGCTACATGAACTAGACTTTTTCTGCTCAGATATGTAGGTAAAAAATGTTTATTCGGAAGCTGTTTCCTTGCACAGGTGCACATTTTGACATCCTATCCAAGGGCATCACTCTGTCACACAAGGTGTTCACACTCTCTCTACGCCTTTCTTCATCAGCTCGAATTTGCCAAATAAACCCCTATTTTCAGACGCGGGATATTATCCCAAAGTTGCGTCTTCACCAGACCGATACGCTCATCACAAACTAGCTCTGACAGGCGCAAACTAGCCCGCTATTTCCCAGAATAGCAGGATATTTTGGAAACAAGACCAAGGTTTCTCGACCAAATATCCCGCTAATTGCAACTCCGGAGTAATGAAGACGCAAATTAACTGGCTACTTTTGCAATCAGGATAGTTAAAATAGCGGGTTACTCGAGCTGATGAAGACAGGCCTTCTTTGACACCTAGCTTCTAAGGTTTCAAGGTTTTGTTCAATTGTCTCTCATATATTCTAACAGTAACAATGTAAAACATGTTTTTTTTTATATAAATTTTGTTGTTGACAGCTATGAATGAAACACATGTCTATGTGACCCTGAGGCACAGAATGACCCAACAGAAAATGGTCACACGACAAGCACGAGATCAAACTATTTATGAACTTTAATCAATACTACAGTTTACAGTACTGTCTCATGAAAGCAGTGATGTGGTTTAAATTCTAGTTAAAGGTAATTTAAGCGGAACAAAATGAAATTGTCATTTATTATGTAAAATGTAAAATTCAAGCTGTAACTTCCTTCTTCTTATCTTCTCTCTCTTCTTTTCTTCCTTTACCTATGTTATCTGTATCTTTCCTCTGTCCTCTGTTGTTGTGACTGTATGTACTATGTTTTTTGTATAAAATAAGTTTGTATCTTGTTTAAGCAAAGTATTTATTTGGGGATCATTCTCATCAAGCCAATTTTGGCTTTCATGATTCCCCACTTCCTTTCATCTTATGTTGAGAATGAACGAACATGTACATACTTTTGATGTTTTTTAAAAGAGATTGAAATAAATAAATGAAATGAAATACCTCAGCTAGTCATTTAGAATGTGGAAACTGTTGCATTCTTGTATGGATAAATCCTCCTTCTCTTCAAGCTTTGTATGTTAATTTCCTTCTCGATAATGGAGCTTTGATAGTATTAGTACAGGACTTGATGCTCAGTCACAGGGTTCTGTTTAATAAACTTGAGCCCCTAATTTCACTTCAATACCCCCGGCGAGTTTTGATGCTTCCAAAGTTTTGCAATGTTTCCAGGGTCTCAATCATAAAGATTTTAAACATTTTCAATTAATACACAGACCCTAGCTGTCAAAAAAATGTAGTGAAATTTAAAAACCAGAAATGGTATGTTCACGGATGGCACGTATGGTTAAGATTTATGAAAGATTCATACCGGGAAATATAGTTTAAGCACCACTGAATTTTATCAATTAATTTGCAAGAGTTTGATGCAGTAAATATAACAGCTGTTTGCAAGGGTTCATGTCCTTTATTGTTAACAATACTGATGAGCCCACGATGTTGTCCCTATCATGACTGCTACTTTTATTGTATCAGTATTTTTTGCAAATTTTAGATTTAATGTTATACAAAGAACATAAAATGGGGTTATTTTCAGAAATTTGTGGAGAAAAGGGGGTTCTGTTTAATATCATATTGAGCTCATGGCTATTATCTTGACAAGCCGACTGCAGCGAGTAGCCTAATACTCTTTAGGCAAGGATTGTTTTACCCACAAAATTTATTTTGCTGATCTGGATCACTTGCAAAATATGTGAAGGGTTACATTAAGACCTTTTTAAGACACCATCATAACCCCAAAATAAATTTAGCCCAGATAATCTACAGGTCACGCACCCCTACACTTTAAAATCTTCTTTATGAGGCAGCATCATAAAAAAATGAAAACTAATATGAACTTAAAGAAAATGACTTTATATCTCTGGGGGTCATGGTGTCCTCCCTCCAAATAATAAAAATGACAGATTGAATTGAATATCATGAAGAGATGTGGTAGATGTATACTTACCGGTTTTGCTTTGGGAAGTGTTGACCAACGTCCTGCGGCACCCGTTGATGTAGATGCAGCCTTTCCTCCTCGGCCGTTCACCTGTGCCTTCTCTTGCTTCTCCTTTGGCTCCACTTCAACCCCATTAGCCTTCATTCCTCCCTGACATCCTCTATCTCCTTCGGTCACCTCCATCCTCATCCCTTCCTTCCAGCTGTTTCGACCGGGAGGCTTCTCTGGCGACTTCCTTTTGGCATTGTTCTCTGGCTCTTTGGTTTCAGGTAGATCTGTCAAGCGTATCTTTGAGATTTTGATGACTATCTTCTGTCGGTTGATTTTGGTGGTGTGTCCTTCCCAGATAGGCTCTGTCGGCTTCTTCTCTTTCCTTGTAACCATCTTCCAGACTTCCTTTCCCGATGCACCCACCAGCTTTTTCTTTGGACGAGTCCTCGAACCACCGACATCTTCATCATTGTCGTCATCGCTCTTTCTCTTTGTTCCACCTTTATCAGCCCTAATATCGTCATCACCGCTGCTTGCTCCTTCTAATCTTTTAAACATGTTATCTCTACTGTCCTTGATGGGGGAATCCTTCGGTTTGAAGGCCTGAGCCTTGCAGGCGCTATTCTTTACAACAGCTTTTCCATTCTTTGCTGATTTCCTCGAGTTGTCGATAGTTTGCTGTACATGAGCTTTCATACTCTGCACCATTCTCGTTGCATTGCTGCCATTTTTGTCCACCTTACCAACACGTGAACTAGAGGTCGGTGATACCTTTTTCAACCCCATTCCAAACTTTGGGGACAATGCCTCAGGGTTTTCTTTAGATTTCAATGTCCTATCATTGGTTTGTTCAATGCTTTTGGTTCTATGGTTGCGCTGTTTGAGTTCTGCACGTATGGCAGGTTCTTCGTCAATGATGTAAACATCACTTTCCATGGCATTAATTTCATTATTGTTTTTGCTAACTGTCTTTGAAGAAATGTCAGATTCCATTAATTCTACATCATCATCGTCATCATCATCTACTGTAATGGCATTACAAGGCTTTAAAGTCTTTGATCTAGTTACATGTATATGCTCTTTTGTTGAATATGCACCATTGAGATTCCTTTTCACACTGATTGCACTGCCTCGATTTGTTCTGGTCTTTTCAACATCACATTGAGTTGTTTGATGGTCGGAGTTGTTCGTGCTCGTCTCCAAAATTGCAATAGTTTCTTGCTTTCTCCTCCTCAATTGTTCTTTGTTTTGTGAATGTGCCCCCTCCTTAGCTTCATTCTGTCCAATGACCTTGGACCTGTCTATTAACCCTTGAGTCATTTCTTTGCCTTTGTCTATCCTTCCTTTTTCCTCTGCTGCATCCTCCATTTCTTCAGTTATCTCTCCTTCTTCTTTGTTCTTATCTATGGTAACGACTACACCATCCTCTTTCTCCTCCTCGTCGTCCTCATCTTCTGGTATCTCACCTTCCTCAAGCCCTTCCTCCTCCATTGTCTTATCTCTATCTCCCGTATCGGTTGCCTTGCTTTCGTCTACATCCACTTTCTCCTGCAGAGCAACATCCGGGTCGCTACCAGAACTGCCATTGATTGACTTCCTGGGTACTTCCATTTCTTCCTTCAGAGCATCTTCCTGGATGTAGCCTGAATTGCCATTGGTTTTGTTCTCTGCCTTCTTGGCTTCATCTGTTGCCTTGCTTTCGTCTACATCCACTTTCTCCTGCAGAGCAACATCCGGGTCGCTACCAGAACTGCCATTGATTGACTTCCTGGACACTTCCATTTCTTCCTTCGGAGCATCTTCCTGGATGTAGCCTGATTTGCCATTGGTTTTGTTCTCTGCCTTCTTGGCTTCATCTGTTGCCTTCCTTTCGTCTACATCCACTTTCTCCTGCAGAGCAACATCCTGGTCGCTGCCAGAATTGCCATTGATTGACTTCCTGGGTACTTCCATTTCTTCCTTTGGAGCATCCTCCCGGATGTAGCCTGAATTGCCATTGGCTTTGTTCTCTGCCTTCATTGCTTCATTAGGAGATGGAATTGGGGTGTTCTGATTACACCTGTTGTCTTTACCATCTGTAAATCCTTCATCGAGAGTTTCAATCTCAACCCCATGACCCTTGTTTTCCTCTGCTTCACCTCTTCTCATTACATTCAGGAGTGCATCATCCTTATCATCCATGTTGTCAAGGCTACTATCTCTCAACTCCTCTCCCAATCTCTTTTCCTTCAAAATTTCATTCCCAAGTTTTGTTTTAGCATTAGTGATGCATTCTTTGTCCTCTATGTTGTTGTTGATCTTCATACAATTGCTCTTCAAGGATCCTTCCAGGTTTTTATCAAATCCCTTTTTCCCAGTTGCTCCATTTCTTCCTTTCTCCTCGACTACATGAAGATTGTCTTCTGCTGGTGATATCTCTGTCATTGTAGCCTCCTGGCTATTGTCCACTCCGTCTCTTTCTGGAGTCTCCTCCAATATCTCTTTACCCACACATGTAGTCTTTGCTTCTTCAGGCTCTACCACCACCATCTTCTCTAAACTACATTCCACCTTGCCACATCCTACATCCCCTTTATGTTTGACTGCAAGATCAGGAATTCCTTGGCCACCCTCTTCCTGGATATCTCTGTACTCTATCCTTTTTTCTTCAGCAACTGTAACTGCAGATTCTTTGGTGCTATTCTTGCATTCTTTATCACCTTCTTGACTATCCTCTGTCATGATTCTTGTATCCTTAAGATTCTCTTCAGTGCTTGTGGACATCATTTTCTTGTCAGCTCCATTCACCATAGCAACTGCAACATCTCCTTCTTGATGCCTAGTCTCGTCCTTTTCCGGAGTGATTGTTTCAGAATCTATTCGACCATCTTCCTTCTCTTCCACCTCCATTTCTTCCTTTTCCTCGATATCTATTTTATCCCCAGTCATGTTACATATTGCTTCTGGAATTCTCACTCCCTGTGCCTCTTTCTTCCTATCCTCCTGTTCTTCTTTTGTGATGTTCAAGTCTGGTATCAAGTTTTGAATGTCTCTTTGATGCATGTTGTTCTCCTCATTATCCAGCTCCTTAACCTTTTGCATTTCCCTTTCAGAAATTCCGTGGGTACCTGCATTTTCAAATTCCATCTCTTCATCATCCATCCTCCTTTGTTCTTTATCCCGTTCTCCTCGATCATCGTACCCTTCACTTTCTGTTTCTTTTGAAGGTGTTCTGTCTGGATTCATCTTGTCATTGTCTCTTTGAGGTGTTTTGTTCTTCCCATCTTCCACCTCTTCGTACAATCTCAACTCCCTTTCTAATGTTATTAGGGCAACAGCAGTTTCCATTTCCACTTCTTCTGTCTGAGCCTTTCCTTCAATCTCCTTACCATTCAATGGCACTATCACTTGTTCTCTTGTTTCTTCCATCTTTTCTTCCATCTTCTCATCACAAGGTACTTGTTCTTCGCTTTTCATACCTTCTGTTTCTCTCTCCTTGGTGTCCTCTATTATTTCATCACAAGCTTCTTCTTGAATCTCATCCTCTTCATTTTCTCTTTCATTTAATTTCCTCGATCCTGATTCCAATGTTTCAATGTCTCTTTGAGGCACAACATGCTCCTTATGTTCCACTTGTTGATCAGTTTTCGACTCCTTCGCTCTATTTTCCTGGGCATCTGATATGAAAGCTTCAATCTTTTCATGATCATTGTTCGTTTTTTCTTTATCCCCTTCTCTTTGATCGTCATTCTTGTTACTTTCTTCAGTGGTTGTTCTGTCTGTTTGAGGCACATCCACATTTTTCTTCTTATGCTCCATCTCTTCATCCAGTGGCCTCGCCTTTTCTGCGCTTTCCTGAGTACCAGTCACGTCTGATTCAGTTTGTTTGTCATCTGCCTGAACCTCCCTCTCTTTTGTTTTTGATAGCACCATCACTTGCGGCTCAATCAGGTCATCCTTACTCTTCCTGTTTGCTTCCTTGTTGCATTCTTCTTCACTCTTCTCAACACATCTATCTTCTTTTCTTTCAACATCATGTGTTTCTTCATCCTTCTTTGAAGGAAGTAATTGAGTATCAACTATTTCAACAGCATGATTCTCTTTTAGCATCTCTTCTTCCAACGATTCTCGAGGACCTACCAATTCTGACACCACTTCTCCGTCTTTTTCTTTCGATAGCATCGTCACTTGCGGCTCATTTAGGTCATTGTTTGTTTCCCTATCGTGTTCCTTGTTGTCTTCGCATTTTTCATCCATCTGTTCATCACATGATTCTTCTTTACTTCCAATATTATCTGTTCTTTCATCCCCAAAATCAGAATTTATAATTTCGACGGCAAAACCCTTTTCAGTGGCGAGTTCTTTCTGGCCTTCCGCCAATGCCGATTCTGTTTCCCTGCCATCATCCTTTCCTTCTGATAGTACTGCCGCTCGTGGCTCAATTTGGCCATCATCGGCTTCCTTATGCTCTTCCTCCATCCTCTCGGTGTTTGCCCCTTCCTCTCTTACTTCCAAATCATCTGCTTCGTCTTTCTTTGTTTTTGACAAAATTTTAGAAGTCATCATTTCTAGTGCACTATCCTCCTCTTCCATGCGGTTTTCCAAGTTTGGAGTCTGTTTGACTTTCATCGGTTCACTGTCTTTAATCTCTGTATCCTTTGCAATGATGGACTCCACTGCTTTGTCCGGTTCCATTGGAACAACAGTTGACCCAGAATTCGGCTCCTCTCTCTCTGTTTCCTGATATTTTTCATTTTCCTCTCTAGTACCCATGCGAGTTTCTAGATTTTTGACCACCTCTGAGCTGTCTTCTGTGGCATTTACATTCACAGGTTCAATTGTCTCAACAGCATCCTTCTCTCCATTAGAGTAAGTAATGTCTTTATGGGTTTTACTATGGCTCCCATTCCCATCATACACTTCTGACATAGTTTCCTCTCTCGTAAAATCATTGCATGATGTGCTGTGCAGGTTCTTTTCTTCTTCCAATTTTTGTAGGATATCTGTAGCTTTGCTACTACTCTTCTCCTCAAAGAGAAATTCATCAGAGTCGGTGTCCTCTGAGCTCTTCTGACAATGTCCAGCTTCCTCATACTGCCCTTTGTCACCTCTCGTCATTTCATTTACTGACACCTGTTCCCCTTGTTCTACGGTTTCTCTTGGGAAGATGGTTGAGGCGATGCGTTCGGAATCCTGAATTTCCTCACTCCCAATGTCAAATTCTCTTAAGTCATCGTCGTCATCATCATCGTCGTCGACTTCCATCCCATCATCAGCAATGATCAAAGACGATGAATCCTCGTCCTCCTCATCGAATGGAATGACAAGAGATGACGATTCATCATCACCCGCTGCTGCTTCCTCCTCCTCCTCCTCCTCCTCCATCGTCTTCCGTTCCTCTTTGTCAATAAACACTTCTTCTTCTGCCAAAGTCTCCGCCCTTGATTTCAATGCAACTTGCAAATTGTTTGACTTTCTGGCATCAGTCTCATCAATCTGTAGCTCCCCTTGGCCCATCTTCCTTTCCTCCGATACCTGTTCTAGATCTCCATGTACAGTATCCTCTGTTTTGCTTTTTTCCGTGACGCTGATGGTGTCCTTACTGAAATCAACATAATCATCGTCGTAACCGAATTGGTCATATTCCACATTCAAAGCAGGAGCATCTCCTGGCGATTCCACGCTATCTTCATCTCCCTTCTCTGCTTCCGATGAAGAACTGATTTCCACCACTTCTGGAAGAGCACACCGCTCCTCGCCATTTTCCTCTACCTCAAGACAGTTCTTCTCTTCACCTGTGAGTTCACTCTTCCCCTTATCAACTTCAGTTTGCTCCAACATTTGACGAGCTTTCCTTTTCTTCCTCCTCTTTTCCTTATCCGCCTTTCTTTTCCTCCTGCGCTTCGTGGATAGGTCCTTGAATTTTCCGGTCTTGATACGTATGAAGAATCGGTTCCCGGCCTCTGAGGCTAGGACGTGCCTGTGCTCTAAGGATGAAGGAACTCCTTCTTTCGTCTGATAGGTGTCCGTCTGGTTCTCCTTCTCTTCATCGCTGATCTGCCTCTGGAACTCCAGGAGTGCTTTTAGGCTTCTCAGCTGATAAGGGAGAAACAAGGAAAAAAGAAAAGAGAACTTGATATAAAGAGTACAAATCAATATGCTCCTAATGGTATATTTGTCAAACCAGAAACTTTAACATGCATGAAATGGTCACAAATATTGCAAATAGTTAATAGGATTCATGCAAGTCCATCATTCTACAGTGTCCCATGATGATTGTTTCTTCAAAAACTGTATTCGGCAGCAGAGACATATAAAGTAAACTATCCATCTACATGCACCAGCCCTTTAATATCGTACCATTATGGTTTCAAACTTTTTTGAAGGAAACAAATAGGCATTAAAACAACCTTAAAATGAACCAGACATATATTTATCTATGGTATCTACTAAGGACATTTTTGGCAAAAATGCAGTAAGTAAAACTCACCTCTCTAATAACCACTTTCTTTAGTTTAATCTGTCCATTATATGGATCGCAAGTCGTTGCCTTAGTAACTCCTCCACTGACCACACCTTTCCTTGGTCTCCCTCTTTTCCTTCTTATCCCTGTTGGCCTTTCCTGTCTGCACAAATCACCATGTGACTTCTCTCCAAGCTCGGCGGTCTTCTTCTTTGGAGGCCTTCCTCTACCTCTCTTGACAGCCGTCTCTGGTGTTTGTTCTGGTACTGAATTGTCATCGAGCAGAATGATGTCGTCAACAGTTTCTAAAGGTTCTCTGTCAGGTTCTCTGTCAGGTTCTCTGTCAGGTTCTCTGTCAGGGCACGGCTGGGTTTGGGGCAGCTGAAGATCAGTTTCCCTGTCCTCACAAGACTGGGTTTGTGGTTGGAGGTCAGGCATCTTGGTTGGGTTCTTCTTGGGTCTCCCTCTCCCCCTCCTTCTCCTTCTTCTCCTCTCTCTCTTAGACTCTGTCTCCTTCCCCATCTCCAATGGCAACTCCTCTGGGCCCTTGGTAAGGACCATATCCAGCTGGCTTTCATCCATGGGATATTTGGTCTGGGGCTGTAAAAACATGGAATTTAAGAAGATGAATTTGTTAAAGGGACTGTTAATTTGTAACAATGAGAGGAGTACACAAAGAAGTTTAACATCATAGAGAATGTATTCAACGGCATCAGCAGGTAGGGGACATCATAGCATTTGGTAATCCCCCCTCACCCCTACTTTGGGGGAGTTTTCACTCTACAGTGCTTTAAAATGCCTACCTGTAGGTCTTTAGGACCCAAATTAAAACATAAAAGTGTTTATGGTGGGGGGGGGGGGGGAGGGGGCCAAGCCTCAACAATTATCTCTGCCATTTGGTCTTACCCCACTTCTCACAAAATGTCCCCACCCCCTTCACAGAATCTTCTCCACACCCTCGCATGTACCATTTAAAGTTTTTGTACATCATGAAAGATATATTAGACGGATCAGCAATATAACATATCTCATACAGTTAGAGGTTCCATATTTATTTTTTCGATGATGGATAATGATTGTTTTACATATGACTGCTAAAATATGCATGTATACAATGTATATGCTGGTAGGTAGGCAACCTACAAGGTAAGCATGTATTAGCAACCTACATGTACATGCTAAGAAAGATGTATATGCTGGTACTGTATGTTAGCAGCCAGGGGACAGACGGTTCTAGGTCCTTTCTCGAGGGACTTGGTGACGAGGAAGGATGCCTTAATAACAAAGGGCACAAGCACATTGACTTGGTTTCAAACCCAGGACCTCACAGTTACGAGACCACTGCTCAACCTCTAAGCCCTTGCACCTCCTCTGTTTTTTAATTTTTTTTTAAAGCCCGTCTGTACTAGCTTGGCCAGGGGTATTAGACCTCCCTGCAAGGTCACTGACAGGTGGTTATCTCATCAAATCAACTCTCAATTAACACAAGAAAAAGGGGATCAGAGGGGACCAACAGGCACTGATTAGACATTGTTTGCTATATAGAGGGCGCAAGTAGCTAGTGCAGTAGGGGTTCAATAGAAATGTCTCATGCTGTTCTGAAGTCTCTTACCATTCGGTTGAAGACTTTGTTGGGTTTTGAGATGAACTTTTTGATGATTCTTTTCCGCATGATGTCTCTAGTGAGTGTAGCCTTATTCTTGATGGCATAGTTCACCTTGATATCATCATCCTTCTGCTCTCTCTTTCTGGTGTGGATTAATGCATTCCTCGTTTGTCTCTGAAAGATATACAAGAATAAAAAATGACAATTAATATCAGGGTGATTCACAAGCTGTTTAAACATGTTCGTTCGTTCGATCGTTTATTCATTTCATTTTCATAAAAAACACAGCAAATGCAAATAAACAAACAAATATATATACATACAAAGAATGTTCAGTTTATACAATAACTTAAAATGAAATAGGAGAACAAAGGAAAACCCCATGGACCTGGTGGCCTTGTTTAAAAAAGTTCCCTGAATATTATAATTTATATTACTGAGTATATACATTTATTAGTTAAAGGTTACAGATGTAACAGCAAAACAGCAACAGGTTTAAATTTGTATTGTACAGGTTTGAAAATCAGTTACAGTTAATATTCATTCTCAAACAAAATAGTGTAGGATTTAATACCCATACAGTTGATTGAAAATGTTTCAAACATGGATCAGATTGCACCAGAGTGTATCTACATGTAAGAGCCTTAGAGCCCTGGATCCCAGCTACAATGGACTTTGTGCTTTGTATACATGTACCATGGACCCTACTACGCATGTACAGTACATCAGTTCACACTCCTTTGATAGCGTTCCAATTTTAAATGTTTGAAGTTTTGTTTGCTGACCTTTAAGCAAGCCCTAACTGACTCCAGCCACAACAGACTTTGTGCTTTGTTTACATCAGTTCACACTCCTTTAAAAGCATTCCAATTTTACATGTTTGAATTTGTTTTTGCTGACCATCCTTTACCCCCCCCCCCCCCCCCAACCCCTCACTTTTTACCAAATTCCCATATGCTTGCAATACATGTCAAGTTTTCAAGTGTTTAAAATCAGGATCCACTACAAGTCCAACTGCCCTGGATATTGTTGATATCAATTTATGGGATCAAAACTGATGAAGAATATGTACAATTAATGCATGACAATAAATCTAGTCAAACAACACAGGAATAATATAGTCAAGTTTGACTCCTCAGAAACATCATCATAATGGCAGGGGATACATTTTGTTGAATACCTGGTAGCCTTAATTTCTCATGACATTATACATGCACATGTAACTGTATTTGACCTTGAGAAAAATGTACATGTATGGATTTAAATAAGAAAATATGGGTTGTGAAAATGTCACTATTTGTTGACTGTACTTGTAGGAAAAGAAATTATTTCAAGTGAAATTTAAATGAGAGTAAATGTCTTGCAGTTGCAAGTTATGTAGGTCACTCATCATTAATTGAATTAACAATTCAGAAAAATTGGTATGCCATACATTGTATGTGAGTGAGCCAGCAACACTACTCACCGTATAATTAATTTTCTACAAAATCTTGCAAAAAATATGATATGCTATATTTTCATGCATGAACTGGTACATCTAACAGCTGTTCTTTAAATTTTTCAGGTCAACAAATTAATTTCAATTCTTTCAGTTTCAGTTTTCAGTTTAGTTAATTTCATATTTCACATTTCCATTCCTTACATGAATCATTAAAATAAGAATGAAAAGTATTGTTCTTTCGAAAGGTGTAAAAAATACATACAACAATATCAGGCCAAGGAGTATTGATAAAGACAAAATAACATACTGTACAGAGATATTAGAAATACAATTGTATTTGAAGTGAAATATGGGGGAATCTAGTAAAAAGCTAAGCTTGTAAATTGTAGATTCCCTTGTTTAAAAAAGAGCAATCTATTGAGCATGTAGGTTATGTTAAAAAAAAATACTTTCTGATCTGAGGAGCATTCACAGTACTTCTTTCCAACTATACAGTGTACAAAGCAATACATGTACAGTTGACTTGAAGCTGGTGGAGGCATTATGACAAGACACTTTTATCCATAATTCATTACTTTTCAGCATGGAAGATGGGGAAAAGCACACCATTCGAACACCATTATACATGTAATTCACGCATGGAGAGTCACGCACTCATATCCTATAGAAATCCATTTCTAAGGCTAGCTGCCATAGCAACCATCATTTTATGCCATTTGTTATAATCTGTATTCAAATGGGAACATGTACATAGACAGCCAGGTCACGCTACAGGTGGTAATAATTAGGTGAATGGGGAAAGGGGAAAGGGGAAAGAAGAAAAAAGGCGGTCTGCACTTTGTTTACAATAAAAACATGTACTAAATACTCGTTAAAGGGTATTGATAACAAAAGTAAGGTAGCTCATGACACACTGAGCTGAGCTGGGTGATAGAAAAAAAAAGGAAGTAAAGAACATACCGGTACTGAATTTTGTGTACAGGCCTTGGATAACTGGTAATTATCACATCGAACAACATGTACATATAATACTGTAGATAGTCTATACATTTATGCACTATGAAAAGAATATGAAAATGGAAAGCAACAATTAAAGAAATGATAAGCAATCTTGAATTAAAAGAAATAGACAAAGTGATATGTCTCTATCATAATAATAGTAATCTGGATTTATTTACCGGTAGTGCTCAAAACACAATACTGTCTTAAAGCGCTTTACAGATATAATATTACCCCGGTCAATGGATTCAAAATCGCACATTGTGCACCATCTCCACTTCCTGGAGAGAGTATTCCTACCATATGGTCACCGTGTGGGCATATGGCAAAATAGTAACACAAAGGCTTTTAGTGGCAAATACAGATTAAAGCCTTGCCAAAGGACATTAATTTCATGTCGGGGATCGAACCCACGATCTTTGCATTTCAAGTCAAGTGCTTAACCAATTGACTATGACACCTCTATGAAGAAATAGCTAGCATTTAGAAAAATAAAGTACAATTTTTTTAGCATTTCAATACATGTAAAAGGATAGGTACATGTACCTATTAAACCAAAGATACAATCAGCAACAAAATAGTACCTTTAATGAATGACAGTTTAGACTTTTAGAGGTAGAAACATGTACAATGTAGTTGCATAGTTGAATGAATAAAAATATAACTAAAAAGAAGAGAAAAAAAATCTGATCTGAACCAAGGTAAATGTACATGTATCCTGTTACATTTTAAATCTCTGGGCATTTTACTGCTGAAAATTGTCAAATTAAGCCTTTAAAAGTAGCACCGGTACAGTCCTATTTGCAGGTTTAAGTTCTAACAGCATTTGAAAGACATGCTGATTTAGAACTTCCCTCAAAACAAATGAGCTTGAAAATGGCTTTTAGTGGGAAAATAACGACCATTAGTTGTCAAATCAATGTTCTGATCTAATTCTTATTACCGGTATATATTCCACTTTTATATGGCGCTAAGCGCTTAATATAATATGTCTCTTAGCGCTTTAGTACAGATATACAATGTATTATGGGAGATTACTTGATCATAGCTTTTATTAACAGCATTACCGAAGTACTAAAGAATTTTCAATATGGAAATCATATACTGCACATACATGTACAGTTGTAAATATCTACATGTAGGCTATTATACATTTAGCACATGTACAGTATGCCAATATATAGAATAATATGTACTGATAATCTGATATCATAATCATATCATAATTAGATCATTGTTAAATGACTTTTAAAGTGTATCAAATTTCAAGGTTTCTAAACAGACTGCTCATTAATATTTTTCAGGCATAGTAGGGAACAAATAGAAAGCTTCATGCTCCAATTAAAATCAACAAAATGCAAACCGGATACAAATGAGTTAAAATTATATACGTACAGGTAATATGTATACATGTAAGGCCTGAGTGATATATGGTGAAGAACCAATTGCTGAGTAAATAACACAAGCCATTTCAAAATGTCTTCTGTAAACAAATTAATATAATGCTTCACAAATCTTAATATCGATCAGGGAGAGCTCACCACGCTGTGTAAACTGCAAAGACCGCAGTTTAATACCACCAACCATTTAGATTTAAGACTATAAGCTTTCATATGTCAATCAGACATGTTTTTTCTCCCCTTTTTTATTGGTAGAGTGTGAGAGTACGTATGTGGCAGTGTGTTGCTTGAGCACTAACTGCATACACAAGTACATTACAGGGAAGCATAATGGTTTGCTCATCCGAGACATGTATTGTGTTAAATCTTGTCAGCTATACAGTAATTGTGTGGTGCCTGGACTTCTAATCTACAGTTTACAAATATGCATGTACATGAAAGTTTATAAGGCTTGTTTGGTAAAGTGAGTTTCCCCCGAACACACTTTTTCAACAATATGCTTGAAGATAGCTCAAATTATCATTATTGAAGGGCACAAACATTATTAAAAGGGATTTTGTCATAATTTGCAGTCCTATACATGTACATGTACATCACCAAGTAGTATGATACTATGAAGAATAAATAAAAACTTAGCATATACAGGTATATATCAAAAGAGCTTGGACTTGCCTGGGTGCACGGAGAGAGATAAAAATCACTCAGCTCAGCAGCTAGACCGGAACCCTTATCGTAATTCAGGGTCAGGGCTCTTTTTTCATAAAAACTTGTTATCAATAACAATTTACAATCACTAAAGCTACCAAAATCATTGCATTTGATTGGCTTAGAGCAAATTTGTTATAGAAACTATGCGACACTTGAACAATTTTTATGAAAGCGGCCGGAGTATGATTGATTTCCTAATACAGTAACACTGAACAAATCCACTATCAAAATAATGCATCCCCAACGTACGCTTCCATGGAGGCCATTGTGTGTAAGGTACAGGTAATATCTAAATTTCAAAGGCTATTATATATTTGACATTTTTAAGGCTTCATCAATTGTATTCAATAACATATTTCAAAACACTATTAGCAGTACACATATTGAATGACTTACAAATAATTCAAATTCAAATTGAAACGGTATACAGTACTCACCATGTAAAGTAAATACAGTATACAAAGTATGTTGATAATAATAAGATTATAAGTTAATGGGTTTGATATATCAAAAGGCTGTTGTAAAAAAGCTTAATTAGACGAATAATTCATGGCTATGAAGTTATTAACACATGTACATGTAGCTACATATATATATATAGCAACTAGCTACCAGCAAACACAACA